ACCCTAACCCTAAACCCTAAGCCTTCAACCCTAAAGGGTTTAGGAGAAGAAGCAGGAGACAGCGACTGGTCGCGCAAGAACCCTTGGCGCGCACCGGGAGACTCGGCGGGTCAGCGGGGCTGGCCCCAAAAGCTCATTTAGGGTTTAGGGTTTAGGGTTTAGGGTTTAGGGTTTAGGGTTTAGGGTTTAGCTTCTTCGAGATTTATCAAAAAACCCTAAACCCCAAACCCTTAATGTAGGGGCCTTAGTAATTGGAGTAGGTTTTTGGGGGTTCCTTGTTATATTTAATAGAGTATGCTGTACCCCCAAGCCCTATTCTATTTTTCTTAAGGCCCCTATATTAGATCATAAATCCGTGAACCCCAAACCCTTAACCAAAACCCTGCAGCCCCTTAAAAAATCACTTCTCAGGAACAGCCCCCATCTTCGGATCTGGTTGTGGCGTCTACGGCGGTCGTCAGGCCCTTCCCAAAGCATCGGAGTTTGGTTTCTGGAATGCCGGGGTTTTAGTAAAACTAGGATGTTCAGAAGTAGCCTTTTTTACTTTTTTGGGGTATTGGTTCCTAATATAACATAACTAACCCAGAAAAGTATAGACTTTTTCCCAGTTGGTTACTGAACAGCTTAGATTAGGTCGTAGGGGCTTAAAGCTCTTGGGACTGCGGTGGGTTGGAGGAAGCAGGGTTGAGGGCTAGGAGTGCAGGCGCTAAGCTCGTGGTTCGCCATCTCAGCCAGGCTCTACATGCTGAATGGTACCTATAGTCTCCATTGTAGTTCCTTTTTTTCGGTTTAACCAGTTCTATAATTAGGATCCTATAAGGTAGGAACTACAATGGAGATTATAGGTAGAGTTCAGGGTCAGCCCTTCTTGCCAGGAGTTCGTGATCGACTCCTCCGGCAACCTGTTTTCTGGCGGCACGAGGCCTATAGAAAGCGAGCCTTACCACTTAAAATAGCATGTGGATGCATGTACAAGCTGTATAAGGGAATCTGACTAATAGTTGCTAGTAGTTATTTCGACCCCAACAAATCGAAACCTGAAGTCCTCGACAATCATCCCCAAATCATGTGTGCAGGCCACCTAAGGTCCTGAAGTCTGCACATCCACAGGCTACTGGAAGGATCAGAGGGCTTGTAGTAAGTAGGCTATACTTGGGCTAGAAGAAGCGTGGAACTGATGTCCTTGAAACTACCCTAACCCCTAAACCCTAAGCCCTAAACCAAGCTAAACCTGAATCTAAGTTCTAAGCCCCTAAGCCCAGGTTGGGCGTCCACCTTGCCGGCAAGGACGGCGCAAACCTGCCCGCCAAGGAGCACCGGAATCCCAAGCGAAACAATGGTCGTAAGAGCAGCTTTAGAATTTCGGGCCTTTTCGGGCTTGAAGTCCAGGCTCTTGAAACATTAACTCATGTAGCTGTAGCTGTCGACATCATAGTAGGGTCCCAGCTGTCATTTCTCATCTGCTCTCGAAGCTTAGACCCTCAAACGATATAGAAGCAGCCTGAATGATGAATAACACTATTCCGGGCCTTTCTATGTACTCCAAACCCTAAACCCTGTTCTAACTCCAGCATAATATACACCAAAATCCTATTCCAAGTATTGAGGCCCTTCAACTCCAGGGTATAGGGTCTAGGTTTAGGGGTTTGGGGTCTAGGGTCTGGGGTCTAGGGTTCAGGGTCTAGGGTTTGGGGTTTAGGGTTCAGGGTCTAGGGTCTGGGGTTTAGGGTCTAGGGTCGAGGGTTTAGGGTTTAGGGTCTAGGGTTTAGGGCTAAGGGTTCCGGAAGTATTCAGTGTTCTGCAGGAGCCGACGGTGTGGCCACAAGGCTCAGTCCAGGAGGCCGCGATCCCGGAAACCCTAAACCCTAAACCCTAAACCCTAAACCCCAAACCCTAAACCCCAAACCCTAAACCCTAAACCCCAAACCCTAAACCCTAAACCCTTTAAGCCCTATACCCTAAACCCTAAACCCTAAGTCGCCCAGATCTTCCGAACGCCCACCGCTAGGGAATTAGACCTTAAATGATATCCGGGGCCCTACCATCATTGAAAAACGTCCTGGAATGGAGCGCTAAATCATATCAGGGGCCTCAGTATGGTTTAAAAAATCCCTCGGTTAAGTAATTAAACCTTAAATCATATTGAGGGTCCTGCCATAACTCCAAAAACCCCTTAGTTAAGGTATTAAGCCTTAAAGCACCTCAGGGGTCCTAGTATAATTTAAGGTATGTTCCTGAACTAACAGATGTTGGAAGCTCTTTGCAACTGAGGGCTTCAAGGGCTGAGGGGTTTCTGGTTCTCCGGGGTTCAGGGCTTAAGGGCTTAAGGGCTTTAGGGGTTTAGAGGTTTAGGGTTTAGGGGTTTAGGACTTAAGGGGTTTAGGACTTAAGGGGTTTAGGGTTAAGGGCTTTAGGGGTTTGAGGTTTAGGGGTTTAGGGTTTCGGGGTGAAGTGAAGAGTTAGGTAGGGCTTTGAGGGTTTCAGGGCTAGGCTCGCCGGGCAGGGAGGGAGGGGAAAGGGAAACTCCAAACCCTAGACCCTAAGCCCTTTCGGTCCGGCACCGGTGGGTTGAGCAGGTGGCCTGGGCCATCACGGCCAACCACGGGGGAGGCTACTCCTACCGGCTCTGCCCCAAAACTAGTCGCTTGGGCCTTTTTGGTGCTCCCTAAACCCTAAACCCTAAACCCTAAACCCCTAACCCCTATTTTTAGGTTCTCAGGTTCCTTATCAGTTTTTTCAGGTCCCGTTCACAAACACGCAGTGTGACAGCTGATCCCGTGCTGTCTGATGCCAACCAGGACTTAGTTTACAATGATCATGAAAGTCTCATGGGGCACTGTTAGAGTAGGTTGAGGTGCAGCCTGCAGGGCTCAAGTTTGAAAAACTCGAATGCCGCAACCCTCAACCCCGATTCGGTTTAGGGTTTGGGGTGTTTAGGGTTTAAGGTTCAGGTGTTTAGGGTTTAGGTCTTAAATTCTGTCCCACCGACAGACGGTGTTTTACGTGTGGGAGCAACAGCTCAGGCAACATTACTGAGGAGTGCTTCCAGCAGCATGTGCTGCGCTTCCATGGCGACAAGCAGTGGCATCTTTTCTGAAACTGACTGCTTGAAGGATAGAACCATGGAAAAGTGTACGTCATGTAGCTATGGCTACAGTTGCTCCTAAGCCTTCAGCTCGCTCCTATTTCCCTAGTCACGAGACTACCAGTCTGCTGTAGGGTTTGAAAGGGGTTTGGGTTGTTGGATTTCATGCAATTATGCAATGGTTTGCTTACTTCATTGCATGGCACAAACCTACAAACCCGAAACCGAAAGAAGCGCAGTAGTCTACGGCTAGAGGAGCAAAAACGATCCTCTTGAGCTAATATGAGTTAGAGCCGGTCGAACACGCTTGCGCACATCAACAATCTGTAAAAGGTTCGCAGCCGCGGAGGATACTCTTGGATGAAGTGCTGCTGGTTGAAGCTATCAAGACGGACCCACGACCGTGAACTTCACATTTTTGCTTAGGCATAGTACGCTTTGCTACCTGTTCGCTGTCCAATCTGGCAGCACATACTAGATAACCCTACACCCGCATAGTGATTAGCCTGATAGAAGCCTGCAAAGCCCTTGTCAAACCCCATCCTGTAATCATAAGGACCCTTTGGGGGGTAGCGGGGTGACGGGGCTAGGGGCCCTCAATACCCGTAGTAAGGACCAGCCTACCCCCCTCCCCCTTGCCCCCCTACAAGTCCTTATGACATTTCTAGGCGAGGCATTCCATCCCTTTATGAGCCCCCAACAGCCCATGACTTCAAGTAAAGAACCCTATAGCCCTGAACCCTAATAAACCCGAAACCCTAATCCCCCCCAAAAAAACTCGAGACCTGACGTCCGCGGTTTAGGGTTTAGGGTTTAGGTTTAGGGTTTAGGAAACTAACTCGCCCTTTTTTGGGTTCATAGGCTTCTTGAAGCTCTAGGAGACCTGAAGCCCAGACCTTCCCAAATGCCAAAGTCCCTTAACCCTGGGGCTCCAAAGCCCAAAGTAGGTACTATTTTTAGACTTTAGACCTCAAAGTAGGTGCTAGTTGTATACTTGGAGCCCTAGGGTAGTTAAGGAATAGACCTGACAAGAAAATTAAGGAATAGACCTTCCCAAAAGCCTCTTAATTAGGGAATAGACCTTAACAATACATGAGGGATCGTATTGTTATGATTGAAGAAGTCAAGGAAACTAGCTTTTTGGGGGTTTCATGGGCTTTTGCAGCTTTTAGGGCTTTAGGGCTTTAGGGCTTAGGGCTTTAGGATTTAGCCTAATCTTTGAACGAAAATAGCAGTGGCAGCTGCTCCGTGGCGATCTGAGGCTGGTCTACGGCAACATGACGCAGATGCTGGGCTCTTGCAGCCACGGTTCAGGGTTTGGGGATTTGGCTTTAGGGTTTCGGGTCTTGCTGTAAAGAACTTAATTCAGCTGCGATAATGGGGATCTCTCGTACTAGTACATGGTATGGTTGCCTTTTTATTGTAGCTTATTTCACAACATCGGGATCTAGAAGCTATGGTAAAATCACCTGGTTTCCTTGCTATGGCAACTTAGGTTAAGTTCCGTAGCAAGAGCCCTGGGTCCTTGTAGGACACAATGTTACATTTTGTGCTATAATAAAACCCAATAATAAGGATTAAGAATGATCATTGTTAATATCGCTCCAACAGGGAGCCAGAACCGAGGATGGGCGATCCCATCGGCAGCTTCCTGCCGCGAATCGAGCTGCCGCTGGTTCGAGTGACGGAAGGCTGGCATGTTGTTTTGACAAAAACCCTTGGGCTCCAAGTATACAAACAGTACCTACCCATAGGCCCCCCATAGGCCCCATAATTTCGAATCCTATAGGGTAATCCCAAAAAGGAACTACTATGGGGCCTATGGGTACTTTGGGGTCTAAAGTCTGCAAATAGTACCTACTTTGAGCCCCAAGAAGCTGGAGGATGAGGAGGAGGCTTTTTCTTATCCTCGTTACTTTTCATGGCTTACTACGGCTGATGGACAAAATCCTGCATGACCTTATATACCTTAAACTATGGGATTTTATTTTGGGTCATGCAGAATTTTGTCCATCAACAGTATCGCCATGAGGATGAATAAATAACTACTGTGACTGTGACTGTTTATCGTGTGCAATATTGTGGATACGAGCATTTCGGCTATGACGGTTTCGTTCACGTTTGGTGTACGTGCTGCGACTATTGGTGTGTTCGTCTGTCGTCTGTCGCTGCTTGCTTGCTTTCTAGATTCCAGAAACATGTTACTATAGCAGGCTTTCGCATGATATACTATGAACCCTATGCTAGAGTATAAACATAATTTACTAGAAATATGTCTGGGGACCTTCTTGTGGACCTCTCTGGGCTGAAAGGCTGACGGACTGTGCGACGACTCGTCCTCGTTGAGCATGTATGGGTCACCTTCTAAAGATATGTTTTATGCGTTCAGGGTTTAGGGTTTCATCTGCACAACTCAGCCAATGCGCAGGTACATACCCAGCAGGCAGCGAGTGGGCGAGGAATCCCATTCCAAGCTGCGAGATGTTTAGCCAGGCAAGACTTCAGACAATGTTCCACCTTCGGGGAAGAAAGAACAAAAGCGAAACACAAGCCCATACTCCCAATCCCCGGCATCCCCCCACCCCACACGGCAGGGGTTTAGGGTTCAGGACCTCAGGAGGGTCTAAACGGAGTTTGATGTTGTTTTCCGTGTATATGATGGGGGGATGTATGCCGTCGGGTTTATGCATGGTTTTGCGCTGAAGGGCTCTCTACGTTGGATTCCCTTAGCTTCTAGATTCATTACCCTAAACCCTAAACCCTAAGCAACCCGTGACGCGCCTCTTTGGGGATCCCAAGAAGGGGGCTATCCATACATCCATCTATCCCGTCGACATTCCTGCGTATTAGGGACCACCACCACCACCACCACCACCACCACCACCACAGAAACTTCAACAAGAATCCGCTTCTGTGTGCTCCACGAAACCCAAAGCTCTAGACCCCAAACCCTAAACTAGGCCCTAAACCTGCAACCCGAAAACCTAAGCCCTAAACCCCAAGCACTAAACCCTCAACCCCGAACTTCAACCCCAAACCCTAAACTTTCAACCCGAAAACTCAAACACTAAACTCACTAAACCCGAAAGCCCACAAGCAAAAGCCCGAAGAACTACCAAGCCCGCAACTTTTCTGGTGTTTCTGGGGCTCGGCCGATGAGGCAGAGTGTGCCGGCCTGCCACAACAGGCAACCACTTTGGGGCTGGGGGTCAGGGTTTATTTGGTCTAGGGTTTAGGGGTTTAGGGTTTGCGGTTTAGGGTTAGGGGTCAGGGTGTATTTGGTTTAGGGTTTAGGGGTCTAGGGTTTAGGGAGGCTTTCGGGGGCTTTGGGGGCTGGGGGTTTAGAAACATGGAAGCCTGACAAGTACTCATACTGTTCCTTAAGGTTGCACTCATGTTGCTCCTTAGGGTTATAACATAACTACTTAGTAGGTCCTCCGACCCTCCTTTATAGAACCCTTATAGATCCGTTTAATGATCCCTTTAAAGAGCTCTTTCAGGAACCCGGGCTCGGAGGGCTTAGGTTTTGGGGGCTCTCGGACTGTCGCCGGGCGGAGGTTTCGCGGTCTGGCTTGGGGTTTGGATGTTGCTTTCCGTAGTAGCTGAGTAGGTAACCTTCGACTTTTTGGGCTTATATAATCCTACCATAACTGAAAGGTTAATAGTTTTCTACGCTAGGGTACTCAGCCCCTTGGAAACCCACAGTCTAGGTGTTGAGGTGTGAGGTTCAGGTTTTGTGTTTAGGGTTTAGACTGAACAAGTTAGATAACGAGAAGAGCGAAAGTGTTGTTGCTGGTGATGATTATGATGGTAGCGACGGCGACGATCACCATGGCTGCTACTATTCTCATATGGGCCAAAGCTAGCAGCTGAATCAATACAGATGTACACTGCATTCAAGACATGTTTAGTATGGGGGGGTACGCTCCATGCACATACCCCGGTGAGCAAGCAAGCTTCTAAGAGCATCTCAAATTGCTCCTGTTTTGCTGAAGTAGCTATGTACAGGGCTGCCTTCCGTAGCGCTGGAATACATAAACCGTTCCTCTGGTTCTTTGAGGAGTTTATTACCTGCGCTCAAGCCGCCTCGGGCTACGATGTTGCGTCCTGGCTTCCCTAGATTGAGCCCCGAAACCCTAAACCCTAAACCCTAACCCCTAAACCTTAAACAAGCACTTAAGATTCCAAGGTCTAGGATTCCGGGTATAGCGTCGATCTTCAAGCTTCGACAACCAGTAAAGCGGCTTGACCCAGGCATGACGGGCGAAACGTAAAAGGTTTTTCGAAAAAGAGGGAAGACCCCGACCTCAGGCTATAACCCTTCAGCACCAAGGCAAAAAGCCCAGTTTGCATTGCATACAGGGTTTAGGGATTTAGGGCTTTAGGGTTTAAGGGTTTAGGGGTTTAGGGTTTAGGGGTTTTGGGTCCAGGGTTTAGGGAGTCTCTGGTATTCCCCGTACCATTCTTCTACTCAAAATCCCTGGCTCGCTCGGGGGTTTGTAGACCCGTTTGTGGAAATAGAAGCAGCAGTCATCGTTTTTCGCAGAGGGCCTCGTATTGCTTTCTGGCTTTGAGGTCGTTGCCACATGGATTCGTGTATGTGCACCGAGCTACTAAACCCTTCCTAACCCCTGAAAAATCCTAAACCCTGAACCCTAAAACTTAAAATCTAAACCCTGAACACTAAATCCAAACCCCCAAACCCAGGCGCTAGAACCGAAACCGTTAAATCCTAACCCTAAACACTACACTTACACCCCTCAACCCCACACCCCAATAAACGTTAAACCCGAACCCCCTAAAACCCAAACCCAAACCCTCAAAACCCTAAACCC